GGACCGTGTGTGCACTGCCGGCATTCATTCCACGCTCGAACGGTGTGTTGCATTTGTGTAGCGTGTGCTTGGTGAGGCGGTGGCCAGACATAGTCCGCTTCTGTCCTCAGGGGCTGATTCAGATGCGGCTCTAGCCATTTTTGAGAAGGCTGCGGGGAGTTGGGGGCAATCGTGTGGAAGCTGAGGCCATATCCAGCAATGTTTACAAGAAGACTCGAGGATTTCCCAGGTGATGCTGGGGATCCTCGCTGTCTGCCTTGAGTGGTCGCGGGCATGGGGGGGCTTTCGGCCAATCCTGGATTTGAGACAGTTGAACAGGCACCTCAGAAGTTCAAAATGCTCCCTGCGTCCCCGAGATTGGTTTACATCAATGGATTTAACGGATGCATATTTCCATATAACAATCCACCTAGAGCACAGAAATTTCTGAAAGTCCTGCCGTTCGGGCTGTCCCTAGCACCGTGCATATTTACAAAATGTGCAGAAGCGGCGGGTCCATTTTTGTTTAGTGTTGAGACTGCTGGCGCTCATGGCCTCAGTGATAGCGGTCGTTCGGCTGGGTCTCCTCTTTATGTGTGCGTTCCAGAGATGGGCGCTGAGCACTGGGCTGAATGCCATGCGGCATTTAATCAGACAGGTGACGATTATGCCGTTGTGCGTTTGAACTCTGATTTCTTGAGGAAACACCACTCTGTTGTCAGAAGGAATTCCCCTGGGCAGGGTTACATCACATATAGTGGTGTCGACAGATGCGTCACTACATGGATGGGGAGCTCTGTAAGAGGGGTGTTGTCGACAGCACTGAAAGAGCATTACAAATTATTTGGAGTTGCAGGCGGTTCTTCTGGCACTGAAACACTTTGCTCAGTCCTTGCAGGGCAAACATGTGTTAGTCAGAACACACAACACAACAGTGGTGTCGTATATAAACAGTAAAGGGGGTACTCGCTCTCTTCCCCTGTTGCATCTGACACAGGTACTCCTGAGGTGGGGTAGCGAACATTTAGCATCACCCAGGGCAGTGCACATCCTGGGCCATCTGAATGGTGAGGCAGACCTGCTGTCCAGGGGGGACTGCAGGTCAGGGAGTGGAGCAGATCTGGGATCGGTTCGGCAGGGCCGAGGTGGATCTTTTTGCGTCTGCAGAAAGCATGCACTCCCTGCTGTTTTTCTCAATCACCCCACTGTGGGTGGATTTCCTGTCACATGTATGGCCCAGGACAGTGCTGTATGTGTTTCCGCTGGTGGAACTGATACAGCCCACCCATCAGGAGGGTCTTGTCACTGATTTTGGTGACCCCTTGCTGGCCAGTGAAGGCATGGTACACGAGCATCATGACGAGCATCGTCAACAAGTTAAACGACTCGTTTGGACTACAACACATATTTTCCGGGATTTGTGATATCACAAATATCGACGAATGGGACGAGACCTGGTTGAGCTGCACTAGAGAAGGCAACGAGTGTTATCACTGTGTCGGAGACACATTAGCTTTCCCC